CCAGGGACAGCGACCGCCTATCTCTGTTCACGAGATACCGCACGCAGGTAGCCCATGCCCTTCTTAGGGGTCAGTAGGAACTTGTCCTCATCGAGCGGCATGGGCGGCGGCGGCGTCCGCTTGCTCGGCTCCAGCCGGTTCTCCCGCAGCACGGCAATCAGCGCCACCTTCGCCTCGAACAGCGCAAACCGCATGCCGGTGCAGTTGCGCGGCCCGCTGCCGAAAGGCATGCAGGCGCAAGGGTGGCGCGTCTCCTTCGCCTCGGGTAGGAAGCGGTCCGGGTCGAGGAGCAGCGGGTCCGGGTGGTACGCATGATCGCGGTGGATGTTCATGATTGACATTTGGATGATCGTGCCGCGCGGGATATGCACGTTCGTGTCGGGCAATGTGTAATCTCGGCTACACTGCTGCTCCATGCGGATGACCGGCGGGTACAGCCGCAGCGTCTCGGACAGCACCCGGTCCAGATAGGTCATCTCTGCCACGGCGTCGTAGGTCAGCTGGCCGTCGTGTCGCTGCAGGACGTCGTCGATCTCGCGGTGGGCGTCGTTCTGGACGTCCGGCGGCGTCGCCAGGCAGTAGGCGGCGAACGCTAGCAGCGAGGCTGTCGTGTCGTAGCCGACGATGAGGAACAGCACCGACTGGCTGTTAATGCTACTGTCCCTAAGGATGTGTCTACCGTCCTTGTCCTTGGTGTCCAGAAGCAGTTGGAGGAAGTCTTTGCGCAAGTTGCCGGCCTCGTGCTACCATAGGGCGCTTTTGACAACATGTTTGAAAAATGCATTGATGCGCGCAAACGGGTCAGGTAACAGCCAGGAGAGCACTGACAACGCCACCGAACTCACCCACCCGATCAAGGCGGTGCGTAAGAAGCGCACGCGCCCCCCGCGCGGCCGTCCACGGCTGTCGTCTGCCACCGCGAACTCTACGTTCGTCAAGTTAGAACGACATTGCACGCTCACAATCGCGTGTCACATTCGGTCTACTCACAAATTACAATGAAATTTAGCTCACAGGTAGACCCAATTACGTCATGGCTGAGTATATAATTCAATAAGTATGACATCCAAAAAGGAGTAAATTGAGATTGCATTCACGTCGCATCGCTCCACCTAGCCTCCAAATATTAGATCGTGCCATTTAAACGTTCACCTTCCACAGGCATTCAAATATATATTTCATGGCAGTAAAATGGCAGAGAGGCTCCTTTGATCACCTTGAAATTTTCCACAGATGTGAATCATGTACATATACAGTTTTTATCATGTGGCAAGTCGCCACATTTCCATTCACGGATTCCAGAGGCTCTCAAACAATGGGATATATGACGCATCACCAAGACGACACAAACGGCGTCGCAATATGTCACAAAGACCAAGGAATGCTGAACAATGCATCTCCTATGATGTAATTAGCCGTTGCCTCTCATATGTGTTTTATGACAGTACGGCATGGAAAATGTGACGTACAAATAAAAAATGTCACATTCGATGTCGGTTTTCACACAGTCGCGGACTCCTCTGATTGCTTTGAAACTCGCCTCCAGCAATTACCAAAGCACCAAAATAATCAGCGTGCAATTACTTTCCTTGATTTGGTGGCTTTGGCCATTGGTGCTCCGAATCCTGGTGTGATTGATTGCCTCTAATTTTCACGAATTTATCATGCAAAAATATAATAATTCACGCAAGAAACCAGCAATGTGAGTTATAACGTACAGACAGCAGGAGGACTAAAATAGGTACTAAAAAGGCGAAATGATAGCCAGGTCATGGACACACGACTAATTAAGAAAAATATCCCAGTTTTTCACCTTCATGTATCAAATTTTCTGCTGCTGCAAGTAACGTTCGTACTTGCCATAATCTTAATCGCTTTAATCATATATCTGCTAACTTACGGTCCGTTGCAACCCGACCAAAAAGGCACGTACCCTCTTACCTCATTATCGCACTTATTGCACTTCCTATGTTATTTGAATGTGATATTTTTCATTTAGATGTCACACTTTGAATGTCATACTGTCATACGACACGCCAAGTGGGGTACAGTGGATAAATACATCTTACAGGATGCACTGTATGGCATTGCTTAGTCTTGGTAGCATGCTACGCCATTGCTTGTGTCGTTTTAGAGATGTCATATGCCTCATTGCTTGAGAGCCTCTGAAATGCGTAAATTGAATGTCACAACTTGCTACGTGGTGGAAAATTTTACACATACATGTCGAATATTTGTGTCAAATTTCGAGGCCATCGATGGGTCTCTTATCTATTTAGCTAATCGCCTATCGTCTAGTTGACACGTGCAAGGCCGTCATTTCCAAGGTTTGAATGCCTCTGGGAGATGAACGTTTGAATGTCGCACTATAATATTTGGTGGCTAGGTGGAGCCATGTAAGGTGATTATTTGTGGCGAATTTCAAAGCAATCAGAGGAGTCGGTGAATGTGTGAAAACCGACACCGAATGTGACATTTTTGATTTGTAAGTCACATTTTGCATGCCATATCGTCATATGGCACAACATATGAGAGGCAACGGCTAATTACATCATAGGGGATGCATTGTTCAGCATTCCTTGGTCTTGGTGGCGTATTACGATGCTGGATGTCTCGTTTTAGTGATATGTCATGTACCTCATTGCTTGAGAATGCCCCTGGAAGATAAACGTTTAGATGTCATACTATAATATGTGGTGGCTAGGCTGAACCATGTAAGGTGATTATTTGTGGCGAACTTCAAAACAATCAGAGGAGTCGGCGAACGTGCGAAAACTGACATCGAATGTAACATTTTTGATTTGTACGTCACATTTTGCGTGTCGTACCGTCAGATAGCGCAGAAAAGGAGGGGCAACAGCTAATCACATCATAGGAGATGCGTTGTTCAGCATTCCTTGTTCTTTGTGACCTATTACGACGCTGTTTGCGTCGTTTTAGTGATATGCCATATATGCCATTGTTTGAGTCTCTGGAATGAGTGAATGGAAGTGTCACAAATTGCCACTTGGTGAAAAACTATATGTATAAACATGGTGCACATTTTTGCCCAATTTCAATGAGATCGAAGGAGTCTCTCGTCCATTTAGTTGACATACAATGTGTATATGTTAACACATGCGAGGGGTCATTTTTAAGGTTTGAATGCCTCTGGAGGGCGAACGTTTAAACGTCATACTATAATATTTGGTGGCTAGGTGGAGCCATGTAAGGTGATTATCTGTGGCAAATTTCAAAGCATTCAGAGAAGTCCGCGAGTGTGTGAAAACCGGCATAAAGTGTCACATTTTTTTTATTTTTACGTCACATTTTGCATGTCATTCCTTCATATGGCACACCATATGACAGGCGACGGCTAATTACATCATAGAAGATGCATTGTTCAACATCCCTTGGTCTTGGTGGCATATTACGACGCTGGATGTCTCGTGTAACGGATATGTCATATACCCCATTGTTTGAGAGCCTCTGAAATGCCTAAATTCAAATGTCACAAATTACCACTTGTTGAAAAACAGTATAAACACATGGTACACACAACAACCTTGCACAACAATGATCAAGAGGCACTTGACGACCGTTTGCTAGATCTGGAAGTGGCGCTCACGAATGTCTCGCCAATGGTTTTTGTTTTTTGTTTTTGTTTTATTTTGACTACCGCATGGCTTATGTAGTACTAGGATTTGAATGGCGTTATTATGACGTCACCAATGATGAGGTGACTTTGAAATTCTCTTCGCCCCATTTTGGCGGGCGTGTGGTTCAGAAACTAGAGTGGCTTAGGTCGTGAGAGGGGCGGGATTGTGAACAGCAACTAAAGGTCTTCCAGACGGCTTTTTCAGTTCAAAACTCCCCGCAAATGTGGAAAACTCCGTTTAATGTGCCATGGTAACGAGTAAGCGAAGCTTGATTGTACTTACATGTCAGCGGGTGATCCCGCTCAGGGCCACCTGCAGGGAGGCGGGGGGGGGGGGGGGGCGTTATCCTGAAAAGGATTCTTGGTTCTGCACGTTTTGTCCTGCGCTGCGCCTGGCATGGCGCCTATGACGGATGTTCGAGAGCACTGACCTGAAAATAATTCAGCCCTGGCCTGGAAACAGTATAGCCACATGGGTCATCACTATGTGGAAAGCACTGCGTGGTTGGTAGTCACAAAAAGTCTTATGACCAACGGCATGCAGTCTAAGTCCTTCGCAAAAACATACAAATGTTGATTCAATTTTCTTGAGGAGGAATTTTCCATAGTGCTCTGACATGTTTCGAACGAATTCTGGCACATACGGAAATGTGCTGGCCCTCAAACAATGTAATGCTTCCAGCGTAGCAGTGTTGCAGTTTTGAATACAAATCACGTTATGTTCTGCTCACTACAGGAAAATGGACAGTGGTACGACTTAGAACTGAATTAAGACAGAGAATAGAAGAACTGGAGATAAGCGTCGGAAACGAGTGATGAATGCAGAGTCCTGCGGAGGCGCCGACCCATCCGCTACATTGGCCACTTTACACGGCGAACGAACAAACGAACGGGAAATTTAACTACGTAATTAACGGATCAGCAGGTTAACGGGCTCGTGCCCACCTATGCACGGGCGTTTGTGCATGTGTACTGATGTGCCAGTTTCTCCATGTGTGACGATTGCGCCACAACACGCCATCCGGGAGCGTGGCGGTGCACTTGACTGGTCGGCAGCCAAGGTGACCTTGGGTGGCGGGCCGGCCGCCAGGGTGGCCTTGAGCGTCAGAGGCGGGAGTGCGCGGCGGCAGACAACAGTCGTAGACGGCCGGGTGCGGCGTGTCCGCGCCTCTTGCGCGCCGCCATGATCGGGTGGGTGAGTTCCGTGGTGTTGTCAGTGCTGTCCTGGCTCTTTTCGCCGCTGCCGCTGGCGGTGCTGGCCGTCTTATTCGTCTGCGTCTACTTCTACGTCACCAGGCACTTTGACTTCTGGAGATCCAGGGGAGTGTTGGGCCCGACCGCCAGGTTTCCCTGGGGCACGGAGATGGGACCGCCGTTCATGACCCCCTTTGTCACGTTCGAGGAATGGCTTTACTACGAGAAAGGAGGTAAGAATTTCTGCGGCTACTTTGAGCTGAGTTTGCCAGTGCTGTACGTCGGGAATTTGGACCTGATTCAGAGGATCACAATCAAGGATTTTGAGTACTTTACGGACCGGCGCGAGCTCTTGCTCACGGAGGAGTTCGATGAGATGTTGCAAGTACTGAACGGGAAAACGTGGAAGGACACCAGATCTGTGATGTCGCCAACGTTTTCCTCTAGCAAACTCAAGATAATGCATGAGTTGTGCTTGGAAAACGCCTCAAACCTCAACAAATACGTGCAAGACGAGATGAAGAAGAGTGGCGAACTCGAAATTAAGGATTGTTTCGGTCGGTTCACCATGGATAACATCGCGTCCTGCGCGTTCGGTGTCAACTGCAACTCGTTTAAAGACCCCAACTGTGAATTTGCCAAGAACGCGGAAGAGCTTTTCAAGGCCCCTCGCGGATATTCCGGCTTCCGACTCTTGCTCATCCTTCTGTTTGGTTTGGGGTCCGTGCGCCTGTTACCAGACCCGTTTGCGCGCATCAATGCATTTTTCAAACATGTTGTCAAAAGCGCCGTACGGCAGCGCGAGGCCGGCAACTCGCGCAAAGACTTCCTCCAACTGCTTCTGGACACCAAGGACAAGGACGGCAAACGCATCCTTAGTGACAGTAGCATTATCAGCCAGTCGGTGCTGTTCCTCATCGTCGGCTACGACACGACAGCCTCGCTGCTAGCGTTCGCCGCCTACTGCCTGGCGACGTCGCCCGACGTCCAGAACGCCGCCCACCGCGAAATCGACGACGTCCTGCAGCGACACGACGGCCAGCTGACCTACGACGCCGTGGCAGAGATGACCTATCTGGACCGGGTGCTGTCCGAGACGCTGCGGCTGTACCCGCCGGCCATCCGCATGGAGCGCCAGTGTAGCCGAGACTACACATTGCCCGACACGAACGTGCATATTCCGCGCGGCACAACCGTCCAGATGCCGATCTTGAACATCCACCGCGACCCTGAGCACTACCCGGACCCTCTGCGCTTCGATCCGGACCGCTTCCTACCCGAAGCGAAGGAGGAACGCCACCCGTGTGCCTTCGTACCCTTCGGCAGCGGGCCGCGCAACTGCATCGCCATGCGTTTCGCGCTGTTCGAGGCGAAAGTGGCATTGATTGCCGTGCTGCGGGAGAACCGGCTGGAGCCGAGCAAGCGGACGCCGCCGCCGCCCATGCCGCTCGATGAGGACAAGTTCCTACTGACCCCTAAGAAGGGCATGGGCTACCTGCGTGCGGTATCTCGTGAACAGAGATAGGCGGTCGCTGTCCCTGGTCGATCGTGGAGTTGTAGGGTGTGACCCCAATGCTGAAGTAATATTCTGATAGTACGTGTAATGAGATACTGTGCGTATACCATCTATATATAATGTGGATAGCGTTATATATCCATGGTTTGGAGATATTTGTGTAATCGCGGACGCAGAGCGATGTAGGCGAACCCTGAGCACCGATGTCATCACAAACAGTTCGGTGTGAGCGCTTTGGTTTTTGGGCAGTTCTCTCTATTTTCAGCCTAGGGCCCTTGTTAACGTGTTCCTTCAAAACAAAAACAAAAATGCAGAGACTATTAGAGATCATTCTTTATGATACAGTTGGTTTTTGGACATGCTAATAAAAGGTTTGTGTCTGACGTCCATGGTTTTTGCAGCGTCGACAGGATGACAACAATAGCCGGTAAAGCGTTTATAGCTGTATGTGCAGCAGGCCAGACACAAGATCCCATGCTCTTCATCCCACTAAACACATGTCTTACGGGGGCTTTGCGTAGCTCGCGGTATGTATGTTTATATATGCATATATATATATATATGTATATATATATATATATATATATATATATAAGCCGTCTCAGTAAACGCTTGCCGCGTTCTGAACAGAAATGGGGATGTGCGAAGATGAGTAAATTAGATTGGAAAGGACCACATGCGTGTTATAGATGCTGTCACAAGGCGCTGGCCTCAACAGAACGGTGGTCGGTGCGCTACTTCTGGCCTGACATTATTGCACTTAGTCGAATAACTCCTTCGTAGGCTTGCGTTTCCCCTCAACGGCCAGTATATTATTTGTTTGATTGATTTCCTTTTGCTTCATCACGGTCGGTTTGTTAAGTCATCTTTATGCTTCATTTGTTCCCGAGTTTTTGAAGTGATGGTCATTGCGCAGTTATGCCCTGTGCTTTGCAGTGGAATACGCTTTGGCGGCACTTACATTGAGGCGGAGAATGCGCAAGGCCTCTGTCATGGTCGCGTCACGTCGTGGTCACGTGGTTATATATGTAACATTCAATATGGGAAATTCCATGCGAAACACATTACACATGATGTTATGAAAGTAATATACGAATCCAAAAGTCGAGAACGTCCCTTGACAACATTTTAGAATCGATTCCTATCGGCTTTTCAGATATGATGAGAGCCCTTTCAGGCAGCGAGATACCTTTGGGGATGCAAGGGCAGGTCTTGACGATGTTGGCTGACGTACGTGCATCGGTACATGCATTGATACGATGCCAACGTCATCCGTTGGCATCGTATCAATGCAATAATTGAGTACTTGTCCGTAGTGGTGGCCATGACGGACGGAACGGCCGTTCTGCCCATGCTGGGCAATGGGACTCTCGCGCGTCCTTGACTAGAAATCTGCTCACCAATAAAATCGCAATCATAACTGTGAACGGCGCCATCGGCGCCCATGGCGCCACGGGACCCAAATGTCATTTCCTGAATCCGCCACTACGCTTGACCCCTGAGACCTGGCTTTTCCCGTATGATGTTACGCGTTGCCGTCTCCTCTGCACGTGCTCTCACAGGCGTGGCGAAAACGAGCCATCAAGGCCACTTAGGGCCGCTTTTGAACCTTGAAAGGTTACCAATAGTTACAAGTAAGCTTTTCCCCATCATATCTGATGCTTATCTCAATATCTTTCAATGTGGAATCTTCCTTAAAAAGACAACTGAAAAACCGGTATTCTCCCGACACATTTTTGCTCGAAACGAATTTTAAAGCGTATGTATGTGTCAAATTCAAATATAGAACTAGATACGCACATCACTGTTATTGATCATGTGTTTAGATTCCAGCGAAGAAGATCTTAAGGTTCAAACTCTGCTCCCTAAAAAAGAAAATTATAAGCGGTTTTGCTTGGCTGTTCTAGTTACCAGCCATCAACCACGTAAAGGTCCTCACAACGGGTTGTGCTTGCTTTCACTAGAGACCCCTGTGTCAGGGCAAAGCCACGCCGGCACAGGAAAGAGATCGATCTACCTATACTAATATATCGTCGGACAACACGTCAGGCACTTAATCGCCGAATACAACGGCACCGCTCCTAAGGGCTGCTCGAGACACAGACGGACGAGCAGGAAAGCCCCAATGATCCGTACAATGTCGCATAACGGCTATGTGCAAGTGCAATGTGGATGCCGCTGCTGGCCACAGTTCGTAACTCAGTCAGGCTACCGCCGCCAGCAGCCGGCCCACTAGCTGGCTGGATGCAAATGAAGAGGGTCAAGAGGTTCAAAATCAAGCAAGGCTCAAGAGATCCAACAATACCATCTGAGTTCGCACGGACCAGCTTAGCAAACAAACGCATACGAGGGGATGACAGCTAACAAGAAAACACACGTCAAGCAGACAACAGCCAGCTTTCTAATGCACTTCACACGAATTTTTAATACGGTTTGGATGACGCTACCACCGTGGCTGGCGCTAAACGTTACTTACGGCTCCAGCCAACAAAGGCGACGGCCCTGATATTCTTAGCGCCCAGGAGCTAAGAACTATAACCTAGTCCACATGGCCCGCGACGATCAAGAGCGTTACACATGAGGGCGTTGCCGTAATAATTTTGTGCCACCACGCATGGTTGAAATACACCAACTGAAGTAAATTGAAGCGCGGGGCGCTAGGGGCGGGCGTAAAATTTCACAAGTCATCGGGAGCTTAACGCAAAAAATTATTGAAACCCAAGTGCAAGGCGTTGCAGGTGCACACAATGTCTTATGGACCGTTAAAAAAGCATCGAATGTTCTCTACCTGCTTAATGTTATGCGGTCTTCATTTTTTGCTGTCCACTTAATAAACAAGGCAGGCATGTAGGTTTGCCGTGTTAATTTTATGATGCTGAACAGGCTTTGTTCCATTTCAATGTAGCTACTCCTGGACATGGAACTATAGGTTGTTATGCACAAAATTGTGCACTTCACTCTAAAGCACAGTAAGATCTTACAGTTCTGGCGTATGTTGTGTTTGGTGTAGCAAATAATCTAACCGGAAATATGTCTACATATCAGTGGAGATAGCAGATAGATCACTTACAAAAATTACAAGGTGACATTAGGAACTAAATCATGCAGGTCAGGTGACATAGCTTGAGCATCTACCTGCCCGTGACGCACTGCACTGCACAAAAAAACTTGGATTTCGAAGATCTCTGCAACTGCACGACCGCACAACACGCAACAACATGCAACTCGACGAGAATACAAGTCGACATCCGTATGCATGATGGTATGTTGATCACCAAAGCGCTTAAATGGTCGCACATGTTTCCATATTTTACATGCGTGTCCACGTGTCATGTTTGTGTCGATTTGAGCGGTCGTGCATCTTACTTGCAGGGAGGTTGGTTACTGGACATGGAGCAATCCCGTAGAAGTTTCGGCCTCATAATGCGTAATTTCGGACCCGAAAGCGATGAGACAGTCGGTACACTTTAATGCGCACTGGTCGTATTGCATGTGCTTTTTTTAGCTTCATGTAACATACATGTAAACACTTCATGTTTGCAGCAGGTTGAGCGGTATCGCAGCTAATCTACAGGGTGATACATGTGTGCAATCTATGGTGCGCGTAAATGTGCCAGCTAAGTGGCTTTATCCACCCAGTGCCAGCACCGTTTGGCAAGGCTCTGGCTACGTCCCTGCCTGCATTTAAAAGTAGATGAAGTCGGCTACGTCGAATAAAGGGCAAATGAATGCTCGGTGGAGCAATTCATGTCAAACACGGATGCTTTCCCGAAAGCTTATTTTCTGCTGTCGTTTAGTGTAAGGGAAGATGATTCGGAAATAGCTACTGTCACGGGTGTCGATTCGTTTTGTTTGGTGAGGGCCCTGCCCCCCTACCCGCTAATGTTGAGTTAGGACCCCACTGTTGACATGGGCCCCCAGCATTTTTGGCTGGAACATTACAGGAGTGTAAACACAAGTTGGTAATCATGCAAAGATTATTTATGGTCTTCTCTGGTAATGGCGTCGCCACAGAGGGTGCAGCGGGGTAACTTCACTACACTTCCTCGAAATGACTCCCTCAAATGGAGTTAACTCAAGGCATTGGGTGAACCATTTTTATTCTACATTTTTTGGTGCCTGTTTTGTCTGTCGAACGCAAACCCAGACGCTTGTTCTCACCACATCACAAACCTGATATTGACGTCACTGATTCCCCCGGCTCGTGTATTCGCGACGTTTGGTAACCTGTCAATAGTGGGCCATGAAGCTAGCCAAGGCCCTAGAACAGAGGGTATAACCGTCCGGCCAAATTCCGCTGCTTCGACTGATGGCGTCACAGGTGTAATCGGCACCCAATGGTCAGCGGCGGGGACATGCCTTCCGCAGTTTGTTTGACTTTTTGAAGCGGTTCTAAGACTGAGAGCCGTTAAATATCTTGGGCTGGATCATAACAAGACTATTTCTTCTCCGAATAGGTCATAATATCAGCTGCAAGGTTTATTAATCATCAATTGGCTGGCGCCCCAGCCGAGCGCCTCGGGCTGGAAAGCCGGGAGACAAACTCTCACAAAGCTTTTTCGGGAATTCATTGCCTAAGTTGGAAATGTCTATGCAAACGGAAAGGGTCAGTCTTTAAGAAACAACAATCAGAAATCATGCTGACATGAAAGGCCAAGGTCAGGACCAATGCTTGCAGACCCCCTTTACATGATTGCAGGGGCTGGGTCGATTGAGGCTTTTCATCTCCTTAAAAAGTATATGCTCTTTGGCTAAGTGAGGATGCTGTGTCACCAACATGTAGATGCCACAATGGCGTCAGATCAAGGTCATTCCATAGGTTAGCGTGATAATTTGCTGTAGTTATGTAATCTACGATTCAAAATATTTTCACATTCATTTTGATCGCATTGTGCAGCTTAAACGTCAGCTAAAAAAATTCTGGTCATTACATAGTCAAGATGTAGGTAGGATGTCAAGATGAGGTTACACGAGGCCAACATGACACGCAGTATGCCAGTCATGGCATG